ACAGGGCTGTTAGAGGCAGCCATCTTTAACAGGGCTGTTAGAGGCAGCCATCTTTAACAGGGCTGTTAGAGGCAGCCATCTTTAACAGGGCAGTTAGAGGCAGCTATCTTTAACAGGGCTGTTAGAGGCAGCTATCTTTAACAGGGCAGTCAGAGGCAGCTATCTTTAACAGGGCAGTTAGAGGCAGCTATCTTTAACAGGGCAGATAGAGGCAGCCATCTTTAACAGGGCAGTTAGAGGCAGCCATCTTTAACAGGGCAGTTAGAGGCAGCCATCTTTAACAGGGCTGACTCCAAATGTTTACCTGTTTTTACTTTGAGACAGTTTCACCCTGGTTCTGTTGGGTCACCCTGGTTCTTGTGTTCCAGGTGGTTCTGTTGGGTCACTCTGGTTCTTGTGTCTCCAGGTGGTTCTGTTGGGTCACTCTGGTTCTTATGTCCCAGGTGGTTCTGTTGGGTCACTCTGGTTCTTGTGTTCCAGGTGGTTCTGTTGGGTCACTCTGGTTCTTGTGTCTCCAGGTGGTTCTGTGAAGGTGTTGTGTCGGCCCAGTCGGAGCGTTTCTTTGCCCTGCTCCTATCACTATGAGGACCGGACCAACGTGTCCCAGCTCTCGGTGCAGTGGAGGAGTCCTCACAACGAGCTGCTGTGTCACTACATCAAACACAAATCCTTCCAGAACTGCAGCGCCGGGTACACCATCCGGTACCGACCTGGATCCATCCAGCTCCTGGTCCTYCAGGTCCGGACCCGGGACATCGGCACGCACATCTGTTCTGTCAGCAAACGCCACGACTTCTCTGATTTCAGGGTGGAGCTGGCTGTGGAGGCAGGTGGGTGTGGCCTGTGGGGGTGGGACCACGCAAAGCCCCGCCCCTTGGTTTTACCAGAAAACTAACTCTGACTCATCTGAGCAGATTAATATAATCTGAAATCAGTCAGATGTTTTTACAGTTTTTATTATTTTCACTTTTAAGCTGAGGCAGATAAATAATAATTAATGATTAATAATCAGGTCCTTGTTTCCTTTAGACTCCACAACTTCAACACCTGTGGGCGGAGCCAATCACTCAGGTGTGTATCAGTCCCATCATTATCAGATATAAAGACTTATAATTAACTTATAAACAGTAATTATTATAAATTTTATCATATAGGTATTACTCTAAACATTATTATCCAGATTATTTATTTATTTATTTAAGACTATGAAAGACTGACAGCATAAAAATTTAAATTTTGTTTTTTAGGCTTCAYCTGGACTTTCATCTGTTTTTGTGTTTGTTTGACTTGTTTGCTTGTTTATATGTAGGAAAATAAAAACATGTTTGTAATAATTTAGATTCACCTGAATCACCTGCAAACCAATAGTTTATCTGTGTATTAAATAAATAAATAAATATGTTGGAAKAATAAGTTTTGGTATTTTTGACTGCACTTGGTAAACTGACCACTGGGTGGCGCCAAAACCAGCTGATAATCTCCTCTGATGACTGCTGAACATTTATTATTTACATGTTTACTCTTTTTTTCTGTCAACCTACTTTTGTATAATTTGTCTTTTATAAATCAAAACATTCACATAACTCTTTATGCTCAATAAAAACTCTTGTAGAAATTATTCTTCCTTATTTATTTTAGCTCACTGCCTCTTATTTATTATCTAAAGCTAGTTTTGAGGAATTTATCTACAGTTTAGCAAATTTCTGCTTTTAAATATCATTTAGCTTATTGTAGCTTTTAGCTATTGCTTTGCTAACTCTAGCTAGTAGCAATAAAGATCATGTCCTGTTCTGTTTTCCAGCTTTTAGCTATCATTCTGACCTTTTATGCTATTCCTCTGCTAATTTGAACTTTTTCGTGTTTCTTTCAGCTGATTTTGGACATTTTTAACAGTTTTCTGTGTTTTCAGCTAATTTTAGCATCTACTTTGCTAATCTTAACTAATGTTTTGAATGTTTATCAAGCATGTAACCTTTTTAGCTATCATTCTGATCTTTTATGCTAGACTTATGCTAATTTAAACTTTTTGTGCTTCTTTTAGCTGATTTTAGATATTTAAGCTGTTTTATGCATTTTTAGCTAATTTTAGCTATTCCTTTGCTAATCTTAGTATGATTGTTTACCAAGCATGCACACTACTGGGATATTTTTGCTAATTTAAAAATGTTTGTGCTTCTTTCAGCTGATTTCTGTGTTTTTAGCTAGTATAAATAAATACATCTTTCAGCTACTTTTTAAAACTAGCTTTAGGCTAATTTAAGCATTTTTAGCTATTCAGAAAAACTCTTTCAGGAACTGTTTTTGCAGAAAAATCTAATTCTCCAGTTTAGCTGTGATTTGCAGGCAGTGATGATTTTAGTTGTTTCGGCTGTTTGGTTTTGTTTCGGCTCATTTAAACAAAACGAGCCTGTCTGAATGAAAACCTGCTCAGGAAACAAGAGTCACAAAGAAACTTTATATAGTTTTCAAGTATTCAAAACTGTTAAATAAGTACAAGATGTGTTCACATGATTTACATATGGGACAATATCTGCACCGCCCATCTTTAACTCTTTCAACACGCTAACATGTCGGCCATCTTTTCACGTGGGCATCTGGATCCACTGGAAGTCCTCTAGAGAGCACAGCTGGACAGCTGGAAGAGTTTACAGTGTGATGGAGACGTCTGATTGGARGATGGAGGGAGGGGGCGGGGCTTACGACGTTGATTAGCTGCTGGTGATGTGTAACACAGAAAACAGGGCTAACATTCGGCTGATCCTTCGGCCTGTTGGRTTCCACGCCACGCGAAGACGAGCCGACGAGGAGGACCGTGGCTTGACCCGCGGCGTTTWTCACCCGCCACCGAAATGTGATTGTCTGTGTGTTAGCAAAATATCTCATGAACCACTAAGAAGACTTCAGTGAAAAAATCTACAAGTTTAACCTCAATCCAATTCAAGATGGCCGCCACGGCTGATCGACCTTATGTACAGAAATAACTCCAGCTCAGGGAGGAGCTGAAACTGTGTGGTGGTCGCTGACAGTCATTCATAAAACACTTAAAGTGCCTGTGACWTCAAATTTTTMTAATAAAAATGAATGTATTTTTGGAAAGATAACATTGATAACATGTTATAAAAAAGATTTCATGTCGCTCAGATGAACYGTTGTTGAGATATTTGCCTGTGAAGAAACAGGAAGTGATGTCATAGGTGTAAACAGAGCGTTGCCACAATAACAGACTGTAGAGAAGAATGTGATGTTTCTGTACACTATTTTAGAGTTCAAATAATAATGTTTAAATAAACAAACCAGGAAGTTTTCTTTCTCTAAGAGTTCCCCTTTGATGTCACTTCCTGTTTTACTTTAACTGGGCCAAGTTCATGTTTTATGTGACGAAATGGGTTAAATCGTGTGCATTATGCCAAGTTTTTTAAATATAAATATATGAGACACATCATACCGAAATGAGGATTAAGTCAAATTTGGTCAAAATGACCTCATTATTATTTTCAGATTCCTGCTTTAAAAACTACATTTTGATACCTGAATCATCCTGATGTCATCATCTTATCAGAGATATGATTTAATTTGTCTTGTTGGTTACAATAATACATTGTTT